CCCCAAAACCCCAAAACCCCAAAACCCCAAAACCCCAAAACCCCAAAACCCCAAAATTATTAATATAATTGAAAACTGTGTTAATCGTCCCATTATTTAAATGATCTTAAAAACACACGAAATATTGTAATTGTGTCAGAAGAACTTCCAGTTCAGATTTAAATGTTATGTAGAATATTTAGTTATTTGTCCATGTTCGTTATCTTATGAAGCCTCTTCAAACTTCTTTCTTGGCACAGATGGTTACAAGCAGCTTTAAGCCCATCAAGTGTTTTGCCTCTGAAGTTCTCCAATAGTTTGGGGTAGTATAAGTCTTTGTAGTTATTTTTTCTGATGAGTCTTTTCAGGAGCTTGGTCTCTCTCACAGAAAAGTTGTCATTGGTATGACAGATGAGTCTGTTGACCAGGAACTCGCATGACTTGTCTGTTCCTAACGTGCCCCTGATTGTATTGATGGCATCATGAAGAGAATCCCACACATCCATATCTAACTTCTTGAGCTCATCTAATCAGATGAGACCTTTGAGTTCGAATTTTCTAAATTCGTTAAAGAGCTCGATATCCTGTTTCTTGCCCCATCGTTTGCCTTTGGGAACATTCTTAGGAGTTGTCAGTGAAGTTGGAGTAGGATCTTCATACTTCTGGTCAGCCTCTCAGATATCTGAGAATGTCTGTTTGTCAACAATTCCTTCTAAATATTTGAATTCAAACATCGGAGCAGATTCTGGAACGTTCTTGTCATAGAACTCTTCTTGGATGAGCAAATTATCATCCACATGCTGATTGTCCATAAAATAATCACTAAGTAAGTCTTCTTTAGGAAGTCTGAAGATTCCTTCATCTCTACCCTCACTCAAAGATACACCCATTCCTCCTTCATAAACTTATCAATCTACTATTCATCCCTCTAGACCCTCTTACCTTATATATTCTCTATTAAACCCAACTTCTACAGGCTAAATTTTAGCTTTCGAATAAATTTTGTTCTTGAAATTCATGAATAAGCCATATTAGTTCTTAAATGTTATAAATTTTACATGTTTGGTCAGGCCAAAGTAGGTTTTTGGGGTTTTGGGGTTTTGGGGTTTTGGGGTTTTGGGG